GGTTGATGATTTGCATGCAAAAATAAAAATCAAACATCACATACCGCTGCGCTTACTGAGAGAATGACGATCTAAAATTATAAAACATAACCAAAAAATTGATTCATCATGGATGGAGGTTTTTAAAACAGAAACAATAATTGGTGAAAATGGTAAGATGAGCTAATGAAGGAGGGCCAATAAATGAGAGGTGGGTTTACGAAGAAGTGGGGGGGTCAGTAATTAAGGAGGGGGAGGGGAAATTGGTTGTGGTTGAACAACAAAACCATTCTCTGCATTTTCAAAATATTCAAACACAGAGAATATGCCTTTCCCAGGCAGATTCCCAAATTAGTAAAAAACCACTATACCTTCACTTGCTCCTTGTTTACTCTGCTGCCTCCGGGCCTCATCGGAATCCTTATGGATCATGTTGCCATCTAGAGAGAAGTGAATTGCAAGTTGATCGACATGTGATGTCTGCTTGAAACATTTTTCCTGCAGAGTAAACAACAGATATCTAGAGATCAACAACAGTCTACTCGAATGTACTGCAAGTGGTTGCGGTTGCCATAGTAAAAGTACAAGTACAAACGTAAGTGTTCTTATACAAGCTGAGCGATACTTGTTATTTTGAAAAGGTAGGTAACTTTATTTGTTTTCAGATGAGTAACAAATCATTATTTTTGCAGTTAATTTGAGGTTCTGTGGAATGCATTTGGTAGGGATATACTGGGTATATCCACCCACCTTAATTAGTGCAGTTCTGTAATCATTAGAAGCAATGCAAAACAATTAACAAAAACATAGCCAGAGCAGACAGGTCTACCTAGCAAATAGCTAGTGCAAAATATTAATTCTTTCATTATACATGTATTGGATAAACAGCAATCAGAAATTTCAGCTTAGTAAATCTATTCTATTTTGTAAATTCTGAACTTAGTTTCTTGCAAAAAGGAACATGTACATAATTCTCAATCTGTTTTCTTGTAACAAGAAAAATGTATAATAGTGACTTGAACCCTAGGTGATCTAATTTTCACATCATTGAAGAAAAGTTTAGGTGATGATTGATGGTATTATCAAAGTGCTCACAAGAATCAGAAGCACTGTAAGCATGCGATAATGGACTCACCTTGAAACTGTACCTGACAATATTCTTTGGAGCATGAGGATTGTTAGCTGTCAAAATCCTGGTGAATTCTTCTTTCAACTCCTAAACATTATAATAATTTAAAAAAAAATAATCATAACAAATAATATTTATAACTAACAGAGAATTTTTATTTGTTTTTTACATACTTTAATCAAACTCATGTTCAAAATTTGTACTTTTCTGGGGAAATCTTTGCGGTGTGTGATTGTTTTTGTAATTTTTATTTTTTATTTTTTTTCATGTTTGATGTTTTGGGGCTTGGATAAGAACGTACAATAGTTCCTTCTTGGCTTTGCCCTCCTCAAGCCCGTAGCCTGGGGGGTTTGTTGGGTTTGAACAAACCCCCCTTTTATGAAGTGCCCTTTTAACAAAGGCTGGCTAGCCTACACTTTAGGCCTAGCCTAGAGCCTATCATCATTAAAAGTCTACTTTAATACCCAATTGTTAGGCCTACCTAGTAACATAAAAAATTCAGGCCCCGAAACCTTGACTCGGAAATACCGGGATGGTGTCTGGCGGGGGATAGTTTCACCTGTGTATATATATATATGATTATAATACGCTACAACCAACCATACA